GGTGGACCCTTAGGCAAGGTCCTTTGTGCTTAGTGGCCTACCTCAGGCATGAGTGAAACCGCAAATACAAGGGCCATACCGGCTCGGACGTCGCCCGGGTTAACAAGGTCCGCGTCAGTTGCTAGGGAACCAGGGCAACTTGATGACAATATATATATATAAATGTGTAAATATAGACAATATATACCATATTGTTTGCACATATAAAGCACACTGGATTATTAGGTGCACTTTCAATAAAAGGCCTTTATAAAGGCTGTTTTTATAAATAGGGCGCACCGGGTTATAAGGCCCATAGAATAGAAGCTGCAGTCAAACCTGACTGTGGTTGTGTTATGCATCCATTAGATGGAGCTGTGCTAAAAGGAACGTCAATAAAACAGTCAGATAAATCATTCAATCAAGCTTTTGAGGATGCAATGCAAAAAAACAGTGTTCTGACATATTCCTGGTATCCTATGTGCCAAAGAAAGGCAAGAATGTGGTACTCATTAGTACACTGCATAGGGATGGAAGAATCTGTGACCAGGAACATCACAAACCAGGGATCATCATGGATTTTACTGTCACAAAAGGAGGGGTAGACAACATGGACGAGCTGGTGACAGCCTACATCTGCAAACGGAGGACTCTACGCTGGCCACTGGTAATATTCTTTGACATGTTGGACATCTCAGCGTACAATGCCTTTGTCATTTGGATGGCACTGAACCCCGAGTGGAAATAAGATAAGCTCTAGAAAAGACGGCTCTTTCTTGAGGATCTGGGAAAGGCATTGGTGAGACCACAAATTGAAAGAAGAAAATATCTGGCGCCCTGCCCACCCAACTGACAGAACCACAATCTGCAGAGCCTGATGTAAGTGTGTGATGCTGTTGCATGCCTGGCACTCATGTCTCTTGTGTGTGTGTGTGTGTGTATGTGTGTGTATGTACGTGTGAGAGAGAAAGAGAGATAGAGAGAGACAGAGAGAGAGAGAGGCGTTTGTAAAAATTCCTGATCTTTTCATTATTCTAGGTTGTGAACACCAGCAACAAGAAGAAGCGGTGCGAGGTGTGCAGACCCAACATTGACAAGAAAACACAGTATACATGCATCAAGTGCAAAAAGTATATCTGCAACACACAGTACAGCTCTGCCCCTCATGTGTTGTATAGGCTTGTGGCTAAAGGCTAGGTGTTCAAAGGGGCTGATGTTTTTTCTTGACTGATATGTTTACTCTATGTTCATGTGTTGAGCTTTTGTTGTGCACCTGAATGGATTAAATTTCAACTTCAAACAAAACAAAAGTCAGTAGTTTTGAAAAACCTTGCTTCGCTTGGAAATTTGTTTCCACTCACATGTTGATTTTAATTGAGTTTCTTTATTATGTTTTAAATAATAAGTTTTAAATGTGACCTAACCAGTGTTGCCAGTAATGCTTTACTTAGTAACTACTGTAATCTAATGCAACTACTCCAAAACTAGTAGTCAGATAAAAGTTATTTTTATAAAACACCATGCGTTACTACTGCGCAGGTTATTTAGGTCTACTATATATTTTTTCTTTTTTTTTTTTGTCTATTTCTTACGAGGTACGTCATATCTATTCCGCGGCGCCAAAATCAGATCAAAGATTCTATCTCGTCAGATCAGATGTGAACAATGAACATGGAAGGAGAGAAGTCCGCCTTTAGCAGCTGGAAATACAGGCATTATTTTGATTTTATTTCGGTTAAGGATGACAACATTAAGGTCCGTTGTACACTTTGCACTGGTGACAGAGTGTTGTCTACATTCAACGACATCAAACCTAAAAAAACATCTGGAGAAACAGCTCAGCACAACGAAGCTAACGGAGCAAGTCCCACCTGCA